TACCCCGGTGAGCAAAGAATGACTGTCAGGACACAACCAGACGTGGCTGAGACAAGGACTCCACTTTTGGATATGAACTTGGTGGGACCAATGCTATGTAGGAACTGTCNTACCCCGGTGAGCAAAGAATGACTGTCAGGACACAACCAGACGTGGCTGAGACAAGGACTCATCTGGTGGCGATGCCACTTTTGGATATGAACTTGGTGGGACCAATGCTATGTAGGAACTGATCTAAAATTGAGTCCACTCTCCTCAGAGACTGAGGTGAAGTCATTTCCTTTCCTACAGCCTCAATTTCCTCATCTGTGTTGGATCCATAAGATAAGGGAGAGTGTGTCCCTAAAATGTTGAGGGACAGAGTGTTTTTACTTTTGTTCTTGTTACATCTTTTCCTTTTTTTGTTTGTTTTGTGTTTTTCAGGCAATTGGGGTTAAGTGACTTGCCCAGGGTCACACAGCTAGTAAGTGTCAAGTGTTTGGTCTGAGGTCAGATTTGAACTCAGGTCCTCCTGACTTCAGGGCCAGTGCTCTATCCACTGCACCACCTAGCTGCCCCTGTTCCTGTTATATCTTTAAAGTAAATAGCTCTTTATAAAAGCTAATTGATGTTAAGTGGTCAAATGCCCAGCTAACAGAAACTTGATAGTTTTCTTTATGTATTTAAGGGACTATCATGTGGAAGGGTTAGATTTTTTCCTTTTACTGGAGTGTGTGGAACTAGGAGCACTGGGCAAAATTTGCAGAAGTAAATATAGGCCTGATGAAAAGAAAGTCTTTCTAACAATGAGAAGAATGGGTTACCTTGGTAAACAGTGGCTTGCCTCTCAACGGAGTGCGTCAGGTCAAGGCTGCATGACCTTGTGAGGCATGGTGCAGAGAGGGTTTTTGTTCAGGTGCTGGTTGAGTTGGACCACTGTGATCCCTTCCAACTCAAGATTCAGAGATTGTATTATGAATCAGGATTCTAGAGGGCCCTGAAAGGTGGGACTCATCAGACACATTGGTTGTTTGACTCTATGGCAACCCCAAGAACATTCCATTTCTGGATGGGTTGAGGTAGGGAAAGGGAAGACACTCAAGGTAGCAATACAAAGAGTGTCAATAAAGCATTAAAAAAAAGTGGGTTGTAGGTATTTTAATTCAATAACACAATTTCCCTTTCAGTGGTCAAGGGAGAGGAGGCCATTTAGGAAAAAAAAAGCCAAATTTATTGTCATAATCTTTATTATGTATGAAATTGTCTTCAACATAAGTTACATCCTGATTAAATCTGAGATAAGACTTTTTTTTATCTATTTAAAGGCCAACATGGTCGTTTATTCTGTACAATATCTTTAACTAGAGTCTAGCAAATATAGTACCTTTCATTGCAGGATTTCTTTGACCGTAAAAGCAAAAACCAAAAAACCCTCAACTACAAACATTGATATCAAATAAGGTATTAAAAAGATAACAAATATAGAACAACTTTGTCCATTTAAAAATGCAGAATGAATACTAAAGTTAGTGGCAAACAAAACAAGACACAAACAGAACAGTTCTAGAGGGCAGACTTTCCTGCTCAGGGGATGAAAGCAAAGACTCTAGACCATATCTCGGTTCCTCCGGATAGCACAGCATAGAATCATACTGAAAATCATGCCAAAGATCTGGAAAGAAAAGAAGCCAGAAATCAGATGGTTTTATTGGAAGGAGACCAGGCTGTCCTGCTCTTGGCAGAAAGGGGATGCACAAGGGTCATAGAGTATAAGGATGACATTTTCAAACATGGTTAATGAATTATTTGTGTTGCTTAAATGTACTTGTTATAAGAGAGGTGATGATGAGTCAAAGGGAAAGGATGGTTTTTTCAAAATGAAGAGCATCAATAAAATATTTAAAAAGGAAAAAAGGAGAAGGCTGAAGGATAGGTAATGGAATTATTGTCTCTAAGGTAAGGCAATTACAAGCAGAGCGTTGTCTATAGGAAGCTATTACTTAAGTTAGGTATCAGAGAATTTCTGGCTAAAACTTCCAGGAACCTGCAATCTGCTGTTTCTGAAAGCTAGGGAATCTTCTTACCTTACCCTGGATATTTTTTAGCATTAAGAAAATCATAGCCAGAGTGGGGAGGATCAATCTAAGCCCTCATTTCATAGAAGAGAGTAGTGCACAGTAGAATAGAGGGAACATGAGATTAGGAGTCAGGGCACCTGAGTCTCAACTCCACCACTGATATTTAATACTTGAGTGATCCTGAGCAAATTATTTCACTTTTCTGGGCCTTGGTTTCCTCATCTATAAAATCAGGGAGTTGTACTAGATGATCCCCAAGGCCTCTCTGGACTCTGGACTCCCTAATCCTCAAGTGAGGAAACAAGCCCAGAGAGGTAAATAGATTTGTACAAAGTCAAAGAAGGAAAAAATGGCAGAAGTAGGACCAGAATCCAGATCTTAGGACTAATCCAGAACTACTGCCTCTGTACCATGAGGACTGGCTCTGGTGGTGTCAGGCACAGGTCTAGAGGAAGAGGACTACCAGTAGGTCTTTGTTTTGGAATTCAAATAGGAGACCTGTCTCAGTCAGAGCTCTTTGCCTAGACTAGAGGCAAACCTATTTACTTAATAAGGGTCAAGGTCTTTTCCTGCCTTACCATTTTTTTGGCTGGCTACTCTGTTGGTTATACCTAATTCCATCACAGATAAAAGAAAATTCAATGGTAGGCTACTAGATAGCTTACTTATATTAGGGCAACTCTTCTTGGCCACTGCCTAGGGGTTTCAGAATAAATTGCTTGCTGTGCTGATTAGCCATAAAGTGAATTATTAGCTAGTTCAGGACTGTTTTCTTCTTCTTTTTTTTTTTTGCTGGCTACCTTTTGGAGTATTTTTTTTTTAAGGTATATACTGAACTTGACAGTCTCTAAGGTCCATTTCAGAAGCTCTCATGCTGATTCTAGCTGATGCTG